GGAAGCCTTCATGGTCATCATTTGTTGCTTTGGTGAACCTAGAAATATGTTAACTCTGAACAAGAGGCAAGAGAGGAAGAAAGCTTTGAGCTGAGAGTCAAGGTAACTGGGGGAGATGGGTTCCTGGCTGGACTCCAGGGTTAACTTTTTGAAATCAGGCACAGAGTTTCAGTGGGCCTTAGTTTCGCTAGCTTTAAAATGAGGACTCCAAACTAGAGTACTCTCTGGGGTTTCTCCTGGTGTTATGTCTATGTCAGAAAGCCTTTGTCCCAAGTGGTAGTTTTAACCATTCAAAAAGGGTCTACAACAAGGAAGCCCTGACAGAGGATTAGAAAAATATCAATTCTTTAACTACTCAGTGTCTCTGATTTGCCTTGAGGTATTTTTAAAAACACATATGCATGCAGCTGTAGGTGAAACCTATATTTTCTTTCCTTGCTTTTTACACTCAGGAGTACCCCGTAGAGCCATGAGAGTCCATTGTCGCTCACTGAAGTCCGATAGGAAGGGCTGCTTGAGACTATCACTTAGAAAACCAAATCTGGCTGATGGGAGACATTCTGAGTGGGATGGTGGTGCTCTTTCCATCTCTTGTTTAATTGAGTTTGCATATTTGGAAGCCCATTGATAGGTTAAGTAGAAATCTGATTCTATCCCTGGAAAGAAAACTGTTAATGATATGCTACATGAACCTGTTTTCCTTTTCTGCTCAGCAATTTGTATAGCCTCGCTCCTTATTTGTCTCTTGATAACCTCATCAATCTCATCCATGCCCTCCTGACCACAGTGCCTGATTGCAGTAATTCCATTTCAGGGGGGCTTTTAGGAGGACGTGGCTTTTGCATTTAGCTAGAACTGCACGATGGAGTGATCGTTTCTTCCCGAGAGTGAGCGCAGAGATCATATTATGCTTGCCTTGATTTCTTTGTAAAGGCTGCCTATAGAATTTCATATTGATTTTAAGCTGGCGCTGTTTCATTTTTAACTCCTTTGTAAGCCAGGAATCCAGTTATATTAGCCTTTCTTCCCTGTCATTCTGACAGGCATTGGTTACCTGCTTTTTGCAAGCTACTCCACAGTAGCTCTTTTGATAGGGAACTTGTCGCTTTTACTCTTTTATGTTGTTGTTTTGTTTGCAAAGTGCAGACCAGTGCAGCTCAAGGTTGCAAGGCTAAGATGCAATGAACAAATAACATACAAATGCGAAAGCAAAGCAGATTGGTATTTACGCTGAGGATTCGTGGAAGCCCCGGCAGCCTTATACTGCCCCAGAGAGGGTTTTGAAGAAGTGAGGTTTGCCAAGTAATATGAAGCAAGGCCCAATTGTCAGCTGCACAGTGAAAGATGGCTACAGGTGTGACTTACTGAAAGCATACCTTAGTTTCAATGTTTATCAACTGGCTGTCCTCCAGAAATTCAATTTGGTGTCATTTGGCAACAAGTCTGACCAAAAGCAATGCGAACTTATAAGTGGTCCCACCACTAACAGTACAATCATTTTGTCCTGCCTTGGAACTTACAAAGCCTTTCAAATCCTTTGTCTCGTTTGTTCTTCACAATGGCCTTGGAACCCAGGCAGGGAAGGTATTAATATGCCATTTTAGAGATAAGGAAACAGAGACCAAGAGAGCACAAGTTAGTCAATCAACAAATACAGGAACAAACTGGGGCTGCAATTTCAGGTTACTAACACCAAACCTGTTGCTCTTTAGTTTTGTGGTGATCTGAAGTAACGTGAGCAAAAATATAACTTGCATATTCTTTGCATCACCTTTCGATTTACAATTCCTTATTTATTTCCTTGTCTTTGTACTTTCAGGGTGTACTTTCAGATTTATCTCCAGCACAGAGGAGTTACTTTGATCACAAAGGAGAATGACAGAAATCAAGGTCTCCATGTTAAGCATATTATTCTTAACTGCTTAGAGAATTTTCCCACTGGATTGCCCTATTGTATTTTAAATTTTATTTTAGCTCTATTTTCTCGTCTGTAACGTGAAGGGGTTAGGCTCTGTTCCTCTCATTCTATGGTACTGTGATTAGGAGAATGCAAGGTGAAGAAAGAATCAGGGCTGCAAGTGAATATGATTATCATGGAATCACAAGTACAGTGCATTATGCATGTTTTAAAACTGGATATAGTATTTATATTCTAAAGTGTTTCCTTATGAATTACTTCATCCTTCAGTGTGCTGTTTAAGTCATCCCGCAAACATAATCCTCTCACAAATCCAAATCAGTGTGTTTGTCCTCTGTATAAGATACTTAAAATTTTCAAAATGTGTTTATGTCCAAAGACAAAATGTTTAGTTTTATAGAATTCTCTCAGTTGCTAGAAGGCTTTGTAAGATTGACTCTAAATAGCCACTAAAATACTTACATTCTCCCCTTAGTCACGACTTTCTAGAATGCTTAAACATTAGCAATCATTTTTAATTTAGTGATCCTATATTCTTTATTTAATGCCTTGCTGCTATCCTTAAAACCAAACCATGTAGCTCAACTTTCAAGAACAAATGAACTTTGACAAGACTTATGTTGGGTTCAATCATTTGTATTATAAAAATAGTTCAAATTTTGGGGGTGCCTCAGTGGCTCAGTTGGTTAAGCGTCGGACTCTTGATTTCAGCTCAGGTCATGATCTCAAGATCTTGAGATCAAGCCCCGAGTGCACTCCACGCTGAGCATGGAACCTGCTTGAGATTCTCTTTCCCTCTCCCTCTGCCCCTTCCCAGACTGTGCTCTCTCTCTTTCTGGAAAAAAAAAAAAAATAAATAAATAATTCAGATTTTAAATGAGATAAATATCCATTTCCTATTTTCATAATGGCCCTTATTGCATATAGCTAGACTGATTGGTCATAGCAGAAATCTATTAAACTAATTATTTCTTAGCTGCTAGGCCTAGAGGAGCTCAAAATATTCAGACTTAGAATAAAATCAAATTCATAAAATCTGCTCTTTTAAAGCTCTTGGATAAACACTGACTTTGAAAGGCTCTTGGGTTTCACATCTGGGCTTCAGATATGGACTTTAGAAAACCAGTAATATCAATGTCAATAAAGCAATCACCAGAACACAAAGCCCAGGGAAACACATTTAAGGAGTAAAAATTTCTCTTTTTTTTCCCCTTCAAATTTAATTTTTATAATGCTATTGGTAGATTCCCCGTGATAAGCTCACAATTTTACCTTCCATCTTCTCATTTCTTTATGAGTTCAAATAAGTAGTGACTCAAATTGTGAGGACACTTAGGGCTTAAATTCTGTTTGTAATTCCTGCCATTTCACATGAAGAAGTACAAACCAGGGCTATCTGAGTCTTTTTCAACTTTTGTGCATGATTTCAGCAAAGAATTTATTTGCTGCAAAAGCTATTAGACTCCTTTTTCTTGTTAACATATATACTGAATTTTTCCCCAAGATTTTTGACATGATGGGTTTTTCTTCACTTAAGTTTGATTCCAAGGTGGGTGTGACCAACACTGATGAAGAGCAAACATACTCCCTTAGTAAAATCCATAGTCCTTGTCACATCTGTGCAAAACCATGGTAGGGAAACCTCAAACCAGACAAAACTTAGCACTTTTTCTTAAAAAATGCCATTCAATATTCAGCTCTTTTCAATATGCAGTTCTTTTTTTTTTATCAAGTGGCTTGTAGAAGTCTGAATGTTTCTCCATGAGCCTGGGTCACCTTCTGTACACATTGTGGGTGATTTCTGGTTTCACATGAACTGTTACTAACTCTCAGTGTGCCGAGATTTGCTTTGAGTCTTAGTTTATTCGTGTTGAAACTCAGGAGATATAAACTGAAATAAAAATACTGTGTTCAAAGAGTTGCCTGAAAGTTGAAACCACCCAGCCTCACGCAGCCAGCCATTGTGATTCTCTGACCAGAGTTTCTGGGAGGCTTACCGTCAGTGAAGTCATTAACAGAGTAATTGCTCCAAATTTTTATAGGCACATCAACTGGTGATGAGACGGCATGGTTTAACTTTTCTAGTCTTCTTGCTTCTATCTCAGCTTTATTTTCTGTGGGGCTTGCTCCAGTACCATCAGAGGAAAAGGACCAAATACAGGAAGGCAGAGTCCCAACTCCAGAGTGCGCCTTCTGACTGATGTTTCTGATAGAGAACCTTCGAGTGGACATAAGAGGAGCCCGCTGTGGGGGAGGACATATTGATGACTTGGTTGGCAGGACTTCCCCGCTGAGTGCCAAGCTACAGATGCACTCCCAATCGATTCCCACACAGCTACAGTTCAGTGAACTATTCTGAAAGAAAAGAGCATGGCCCTGGGGGCTGTGAGATCCAGAATCATCAGAGGAGGGTCCAAAGAGATCAAATCTCTAAAGAAAGCAGAACTATAGTAGACCTAAAGAGACAAAGTGGCAAAAAGTAAGGAAGAAATAAACTAACCAAAGTATGTGTGAATGTGTTTGTGTATGTAAAATAGAGGTGATAAAAACAGACATTGTGTTTCTTCATTGCAGTGTGCTTGTGAGTAGTCAGATAGGTAGGGGATTGCCTTATGTACTAGAAACCAGATACAGGCTGTTGAATTAAATGAAGTGCCATGAGCAAATAAAGTCCTTTAAAAACCCCCAAATACTGAACAAACAAAATGTGAAATTATCATGTACATAGTATACATAACTTTCTAATAAATCATTTTTGAAATAACATAGCAATTATGGCTTGGAAACTGACTGAAAATATGGGGTATTGTATTCTGCGATCCATTTCTGTAGCCTTGAGACTGTCCTGTGAGAGCCCTTTCTTTCTTTCTTTCTTTCTTTCTTTCTTTCTTTCTTTCTTTCTTTCTTTCTTTCTTTCTTTCTTTCTCTCTCTCTTTCTTTTCTTTTCTCTTTCTTTCTTCTTTCTCTTTCTTCTTTCTCTTTCTTTCTTTCTCTCTCTTTCTCTTCCTTCCTTCCCTCCTTCCTTCCTTCCTTTTTCTTTTTCTTTCTTCCTTTCTTTCTCTTGCTCTTTCTTTCTTTTTTTTTAAATATGGAACACTTCACGAGTTTGCCTGTCATCCTTGTGCAGAGACCATGCTAATGTCTGCATCATTCCACTTTTAGTATATGTGCTGCCAAAGGGAGCACCATTTTTCTCTTTCTTTGTGTGCGGTTACATATGTATATTATGCTTACATATATGCATATGTAATATATAAAATTAACTTTTTTAAATTTTAAATTCAGTATAAAATATTGAATACATACATACCATACACATATACATATATATGTATATATACGACTTACGATCTCATAAATGAGAACTATTGGAGAATGAAAAAAAAGTCTGAAGACAAATTTTAAAATATAAAAGATTTTATATTCAATTTAAAAACTAAGGTAATAAAACATTCACTTTTGAAAAATTAAAATGAAAATTATTTGATTTTTCATGTAGTTTGAAATGCTTACATTGATTAAAATGGACAGAAGTTTCACTCTTAATGACTTTAAACTCAATATAAAGTAATTTTAGAAGCAGTTTTCTAGCAGAAAACTGAAAGAGCCTGTCTTTTTGTCACTGATCTTTAATTCAATGATTGAAAAATCTGTATTCTATTGAAAATGCCACAACGTTTTCGTGATGCTTATGTTCTAGCTATTAGATTGGGAAAGAGTAACTGGCTGACTTAGGTAGAAATGCACAGTTGGCTGAAAAACGAAGTGGTACTAATTTTTGAGTAAGTAAGCATCTTCGAGTAAAGAATCAAGATCAATGAACAAAAAAGGGTCGTATTTAACTAACGCAAAAAAATGCAGACATCTATTTTTAGTTGGTTTCATAGGACCTGGGAGAGAAGGTATGTATGGAATGAAAATTTCGAGCTGAAGTTCTAAAATAAAAATGAGTGGTTGACAATATTGTGAGATCTTTCTTGAAAGTGTCACGGGCAGCCTGTTTTCCAAGGTAACACAGACACAAGTAAGGAGCCTGAACAATTTAACTGCACACAAAATAGCATTCAAATGTATATCCCTTTTTCCTTGGACACTTTTGTATTTTGTACTTTTATAAATATACAGTTCTTTTTAACTTAAAAAGCTTTTTAAAATAATAAAAACTGATATAGCAAGTACAGTTTAATAATTACTTAATTTACATAATCTCACTTTTATCTTTCATTCTTTCAAAGAACTGTGAGGTTATTATCTCACTTTGTAGACAAGAAGTCTGTGTACATGGTGGAAATACTAAAACCAAAATATTCATTTAATCACTGTCTTCCCTGGCACACCTCACTCTTCTGCAGTGTAGTGCTGCAGACATATTACATATTTAATAAATACTTCATGAGAGACTGATTGATCGATTATTATTAACCACGATTCTTGTCTTGGGAGATATTTACAACCATGGCTAAGAAAACAGAACAAATACCTCCTATTTTTCACAAGCTCCCTTGGATTTTTCCAGCTTTTCAGGAGTCAAGCCCAACAATGATGAGATCAGCAAACCTCCCTTGAGATAAAAATACCTTCTCCTTCCTCAGAACTCCCCTTCTCCGTCCGCACGGCACCCTGCTCAGTGCAGTGCCAACAGTCGATGGACTCACTATCAATCACTAAGGACTTACTGAGCGCCTGTTCTGAGAGGCACAGCGTGCAAAGTAGCTCTGGCCCGAGGCAGGAGCCGAGCAAGGCTGGTTTTCCTTTTTATTTATTGATTTATTTTAAATTTTTTAAAATTTTATTTTATTACATTATGTTAGTCACCATACTGGCTGTATGAATTTGAGCAAGTCACTTTCTCACCTGCTCTAGAGTTCAGTTTGCTCATCTGTACAGTGAAAATGTTTCACAGGTTAATTCTAAGACTCCTTCTAGCTCTGATGGTCTCTGCTCCTGTTTACAGCATCTTTATTTCTTGGGGTGGGGGTGGGAGGGCATTCAGGGAAATAAATTTGGGAGAGTGGAAACATTCTGGAACATTCTGAAATACACAGTTTGTTAAACTTATCCCAAAAAGCACACATTTTATTTTTCTCCTCAACTGCTTTCTTATTTTTAGGTTTATGTTTTCAAAATGACACCTTCTGAATAAATAGATGGGGATAATAAAACCAGCTATAAAAACAACCCAGTAAGGTGGCAATACAATAGGAATCATGGTTCCCAGGATCAGCAGCATTGTCAGCATGTACATATCACTGTTTACCACACTAACAACTGTGATGTTCTCTGGGGGGGGGGGGGGGAGGAGGGGACGCATGTGTTAACCAAGGACTGAGCGGACGTGGAGGTAAAAGGGGGTGAAATGACATAAAAGAAACTCTCCACTCTGGCTCAAAAAGCTACCATTTGGAAGAGTTGTAGCTGGATCCAAGTGTGATCCAGCTGATAAAATGGGAGCTAAGGAATTGTAGGAGGTAGTTTCTGTCTTTGATTCTGTCCTTAACATGATGTGCAATGTTGAAGAAGGATATCAACCTTTATCAAGTTCTTCACAGTGAAGTGGGTAAAATAACACTATTTCCCTTAGTTGTATATTTTTTTGTAAGACTGATATTTATAAGAGGTTTTGGTCTCTTTTTATAGAAGAACACAGTATAACTAATAAAAAGAACTGTATTCATTTTCTACAACGAATGTTCATGAAATAAAATGGTGTCACAGAGCAATTTGCTAAACTATATTTTGTAAGTACAGATAGGAATTTTCTGCATCACATACAATTTAGTCTATCAAATTAGGATGAACATTAACCAAAGAGAACACAATACAGGAGCTGTAATTTAATGATCACACTAGACAGCCACCTCCCACATAGCAAGAGGTTATCATAATTATTTACATTTGGGCGTGGAAAGAAGACAAAATGTGTCATCTTTTTGGTTGCTGCTTGCATTCAAAAAGGAAATGATCCTCTAAAGAGTGTAGTCAGCAAAATGAATTAATTAAAACTCATCAGCTTTGATAGTGGAAACAAATTTACATCAAATAAAGAAAATCTCTAATTCAAGAAAAGAAGTTCTCTAGAGAAGAGAAAGTCTTAAAAAGACAGAAAGGAAATCATGACTTTTTGACATATCGGTGCAGCCACATAATTCAACAGTGAACTCACATAGTAATGGAATACACTGGAGAACTACACATTCTGAGGAGTCTACACCTTGTCTAGGTCTTTCTTTTACTCTCAGAGTTTCCAAGGTTTATATTTAGTATATGTACTCTTCCCTGGACACAGATAAATGTTTACAGAACATGTATAAGAACCAGGGAGGATAAACAGAATGACTTTCTGAATTGACTTAAAATAGGGACCTCTTCCTATCCAGCTGCTTTTGAATAATCAAATTTCGATTTGATTAGAAACTAGATTTAGGGATAAAAGATAATCGTAGATAGGGGTGCTTTCCCCAATCTCCTAGTGAAGTCACCTTCCTGATTCCAACCTTTCCTAAATATTGAATTGAGCAGAGTTTAAGAAAAGTCTTTCTTTGATAGATGTTCTTCCGCACTGAAGTAGTTGTAAGGATAATGATGTCACTCCATGCTCACTTGTTTGCTAAGGAAGAGTAAGGTCATGATACCCAACACACCTGCACAGACTATGGGATCAGGGTGATGAGACTTTCTCATCTATTTATGAGAAAAGAATAATAAAAAGGGCCAGAACCAGAACCAGTTAGACTGTAGAGCAGGTTAGAGTATTGTAATGTGCTAGAAAATGGAGTATTTTCAAAGATGGTAGATGGAGTGGTTTTCAGGAGTAAGGGGATTTAGGCAACCAGGAGGAGGGGAGAGTACTGGGAATACTTTGCTTAAAAGAGAGCTTAGAGATTAATTTTACCTATTTCAAATCTCTTCCAAGATCATGCTCTAGAAAACTTTATTTACTAGTTATTCTTATTTTTATTTCATATCCTATGAAGACCTGGTGTTTGGTTAGATTTGGTAAACTGAAATTACTTACCACCTTATGCAGTGCTTCACAGACAACATCATAAAGCTGTGCCCTTTGAAAGTCAAAGATCATTTCCAAATTCATCTGAGCTATATGAGATAAGTAAAAAAAATTATGCATAATTTCAAGAAATACTTGCTGAGTGATTACACTATGCCACCCACACTTGTAGGTGCTGGGAATACCTTCGAGAACACTTACAAATATTCCTGACCTCACAGAGTTTATATTCTACTGAGAAAGGAGATACTAAGCAAACACATGTAGAAAATAGACAGTGTGTCAAAACATCATAAGTTTTTAGAGGAAAATGAAATAGGGAGAAAAGATAGAGTTCCTAACCTGGCAGATGGAGTGGAGTGGTGAAATTTTCTCTAGAAAGTTCAAGGAAGGCCTTGTTGAAAAGGTGGCTTTTATGCCACACATGAAGCAGCTCAGGACAGATTTATGTATGGCATTCAAAAGAAGCCTTCAGCTTTTTAGCAATCTAATATGAGCTCAAATGTCAATGCAACCTACATGAATTTCTTTCTTTTTTTTTTTTTTTAAAGACCTTATTTATTTATTCATGAGAGATAGAGAGAGAGAGGCAGAGGCAGAGGGAGAAGCAGGCTCCCCGTGGAGCAGGGAGCCCGATGCGGGACTCGATCCCAGGACCCTGGGATCATGACCTGAGCCGAAGGCAGACGCTTAACCGACTGAGCCACCCAGGCGTCCCAACCTACATGAATTTCATTTAGGTTGATTCTTTACCTCTTTCAATGTAGATTCACTCTCATGAAGTACATATTGTGAAATATAATCATTCCCCACTGTCCAACATTTTACCTAAGAAAGACCACAAATCTAAGATCTTGTGATATTTAGCTTTTCAAAAATTTTATCGTTGTCATTTCTCTATGAACAGTTACCCCATGAGGAAAAATATAAGCTTTGTCCTTTATTATAATGCACTGTGGTGTATATCAGAAAGCATAAAACTGAGAATGAAGAGACTTGGGTTCTAGTTGTGTGGTTCATACATTACCTATTAACCTCATTTGGAAGATGGGGCATTGGACTACTTCAACATTTCCAAAAAGGTGTTCCTCAGAGCACTAGTTCTCGAGATGCTTTTGGAAAAAAAGACAACTAAGGGTCAACTAAGTATGAAAACAACATTTATCACATAGACTCTAAT